ACGCGCGCGCCGATGGGCCTGGGCGATGCGCTCGGCATGGCGAGGCTCGGGAATCCCTACGCCACTGCCGCGCTCAACGCCCAAACCAGCCGCCACCGACGCAACTTCAACAACGATGCCACGCGACCCAAGGCCCGTTTGGATCTCCCGAGCCACCGAGAGCCCCGATGCGATGACGGTAGATTTTGACGCAAGCTTTGAACCCCCCCCCCCACGAGATTCGGTCTCTTTACAACCAGAACAACCACTTTACAACCAGATGGCCTACTTTACAACCAACATAGGATTGGAAGTATGGTTTTTCAGCGAGAACGTCCACTTTGCAACCAGAACGGCCCACTTTACAACCAGAACGGACCACTTTACAACCAGAACGGGCCACTTTACAACCAGAACGGACCACTTTATAACCAGCTCAGAGTGGCCGTGCGTGTTTGGGCGTTCCGCAAAGTGCCCCAGAGCAAGTGGGCGCTCTGAAAAATGCCCCAGAGCAAGTGGGCGCTCTCAAAAGTGCTCCAGGGCGCGCGGGCGCTCTGAAAAGTGCTCCAGAGCACGTGGGCGCTCCGGAGCCCGAGCGCCTGAACGCTCTGCGCAGGCCCCAGCGATGCCTCTGCGCGGTTTCCATTCCCGCTGGGCGCGTTCTCCTTTGACGTGCCTTACTTCCATGTCTGCCTACTGGGGCGTGTCCACCTCCGCGGTCACCGCCATGTTCAAGACGGCGGTCGGGGTCTTCACCAACGGCCTCGTATTGAACCCCTTCGACTGCAGTTTCCACTGCAACCCTGCTACCACCACACTTACCGCTGCAGCCCCGCCACCTCCACAATTCTGACTGACCCCCCGCTACCACCACATATCTCATTGCAGCCCAGCTACCACCACAGTTCCCACCGCTGCCTGGCGACCACTACAGTTGCCACCGCAGCTTCCCAACACCGTGCAGTTCCCATTGTAGCCCCGCTACCGCATCTCCCACTACAGCTTCCCACTGCCATGCAGCTCCAGTCTTGGACAGGATCATGGTTTATTCGCATGTCCTGCGCGAGTAGCCTTCGTCCGTCAGACAAAGGCAGAGCAAGCAATTGCAGAACTGACCGACAGAGCTTAGAGAGCAGGTCAAAACCAGAATCCGCCCACCAGCACGCAACAGACCATAGCGCACCAGGTTGTCGCATCACCAACGCGTGCGCAGTGCTTCTTCGTGTGCGATGGGCAACTTTACAACCAACATGCCTCAAAGAGCCCAAAGCCGCCCTTGCGCTTGCCCGCGGAGATTTCAGGGAAAGGCCCGCGCGCATTCAATATGTGTTTCCACTTGCCTGGTTGTAAAGTGCCCTTCCTGGTTGTAAAGTGCCCTTCTCGGATGTTGTAAGCTGGTTGTGAAGTGACCCATCTGGTTGTAAAGTGCGCTTCTGGTTGTAAAGTGACCCGCGCGCCCCCCCCCCCCCCCCCCCCCGCAACCCCGAGCAAAAGCGATCCCCGCGCGCGCGAGGTGGCCCGCAACATCGCGGCGAATCCCCTCTGCTCGCTGGGTGACGCCATCGATCCAAGTTCGCATCTGTACAAGCGAACTGGCTGCAGGAGGGGCTTCGCAAAACATCTGACACTTGGCAAAGCCGGGCGCCCCCCGAGCCACAACGACCAGACCTCCTGACGGCGCGATGGACGGAGCCGCGCATCCCGCATCACGGAGGGCCCTCGGCCCCCCGTGCAGGAGGGCCTCCATTGAAAGACACAGGGCAGGAAAGTCCAGCTCGAGCGCGTGCTCCAGGACCTTCCCCCACCGAATGGCATCATAGAAGGCTTCTACATCCCACATGTTAGACGCAAACCAAAAATCTGGCAATGCTGACGAGAGAGCTGCCTCATCTGAGCAGCACCTAAGCAAAGCCTCCCAGAGAGCACTGTTGCCTCGAACCGCAGCGCCCCGAGGTCCCGAGCGATTATCGGGCCAGAACTCCGCGGGGCGCGATCTCAGGCGACCCCGCAGACGGCCCAGCCAGGTTCGAAGGCCTATGTCGCGATCCTCGCGCACATCCGGCTTTCGCAGGCGAGCGATGATTGCCGTGAGCCACTGCCATGGCCATGCCACTGCAAGCACAAAGCGCTGAAATAAAGACACCAGCTGCTGGCGGCCCTGTTCTGGCAGCCACCAAACGTCTCGTTGCCGCGCGCCGTCGACGCCAGCTGCTTTGGACGGCGAGATGGCCACCGGCGCCGCCTCCAGGTTGTCCAGCGTGATGGGCGGAAGCTCCTCGTGGCGCGCTAGCTCCCTGGCCTGCTGCAGAACTCTCAGCGCCTCGTAGCTGTTGAACTGCGGCTGCGACCAGAGCTTGTCCCACACCGCGCGTTTGGCCCCCATAAGCGAGGCCCCATCAAAAGTGGAACCGTCGGCATACAGCATCTCGCTGACCTCCGCCATCGGGCCCTTCACGCGACGACGCAGCGCGCCCATGCCGCCAGCGGGGCTCTGGCACACCCAGTCGCGAAGCCCTGAAGCCTCTTCCTGGCCACTGCTCTCTGCGACTGCCCCGCGGCTCTGCGGGCAGCTCCGGCCAGCTTCTCCCGAGACCCCGTAGTGACGCCATCATGTGTTCTAAGAGGCCTGATCCATCTTTCTTTGCGGCGCCCAGGAAGAGGTACACTTTGGCAAGCAGGGGCGGTGGGCGCCAGCGCGAACGATCTACCTCGCAGATGCTGGGCACGCGGCGAGCCCATCTGGTCGTCCTTCACGCTGGCAAGCTCTGCTAGATGGTTGGGCACCGTAGACCACCACTTCGAACTGCTGTCAGATGCCGTCACCCACGGCTTGCCGCCCTCCATGGTAGTCTCGACTGGGTCCTGCAGACGCCCTCGCCCTTGGTACTGACGCCTCTCCTGCGGGTGCACCTGCTACAACTCACAGTAATACAACTCCATGGTGCTTGACCACTGCAGGAAAAGGCCACCAAGCTTGATAGCAGCCTCTCTGCTCGAAACCCCAGGCTACGCTGCACGAGCTCTGGTGGCGATGTCCTGCGCGTGACCTGGCCCGCGAGGCTGCTCCACAACAGGTCCTTCGAGGCTCCTGACCACGAGTTCTGGATGCTGGCACAGATTGAGAGATCCTCTTGCCCCGAGACCCCGTCAATTTCCTAAAGCTCAGGCTCGCATCCAGGAGGCGTTTCTGCATCTTCATCCTCATCATCAGTCCAGAAGTCCCCCCCCAGCTCCACGTGAAGGTACTGCAACACAGGGGGACTCTTGATAGCCAACCCCCATGTTTTCCCCTCGGGGGCGGGTTTGATACGCTGAATGGACATAGTGGCAGGCTGGACTCGCGTCGCTCGGGCTCCCGACCTCTTGCTCTCAGGGTCCGCCTTGCGTCTGGGCCTTGCTGGGTGCTCGAACGCACGAGGCCTGCACAGGGTCCATGCCACCGACCGAGACAAATCAAAACCCAAAGATATCTGCAGCCCGTAATGCCTACTTGCCCGCCCCCTCCACAGCCTCGAAATTTGCCTCACTTGGAATTGCCACTACACCACCTGACATATCTAACCATCTTGACGCCGCCAATTCCTGCGGAGTCATGTTCCGCGGGTGCCACCCACAGGCCCTGGATGGTCGCACGCAGCGCACCCAGGCTGGTTCACTTGTGCGCATTGCCTTTGGCCCCAAACTGCAGATGTCATGTATACTCCAACCACGAGTAAGGACTGGCTCTGGGCTCGAAGCTGCATGGTCACTAAGTCGGTGAAATCAAGGCATGCCTCTTCCTTGCCCCCCAGCTGCCGCAACCCAACTCGATCCTGGGGAGATGCAGCCAAGCGACGTAGAGAAGCAACTCGATACTTCTTGCGCACTCCCATAGTAATGCCACCAGCTCGCTCTAGACGATCCGTGGCATACGCCGCAGATAAAACTCCAGTGTATCCCGGCTTACGCCAATCATGAACAACTTCATTTGAACCAGCTGGCACCACATGCGTCTCTGGAACGACGAGAATGTCTGCTTTGTGGTGCTGGGCCAAGGATTTCTCGGCGGGCCCCCAGCCTCCCAAGCTACGTGGGTACAGCGTCCGGATGTTCGAGACGGGAGATCCCAAGCTCCTGACCGCCAGGTTGACGCACACGAGTCTCCAGCTCGCTGAGGCCCAGCTTCGCGGCAAACCTGAGACCCCTGCTTCCCCACGACCTCCACCAACTCGGTCAGAGGAGGAGGAGGAGGAGGAGGAGGAGGAGGAGGAGGAGGAGGAGGGAGGGAGGGAGGAGGAGGGAGGGAGGGAGGGAGGGAGGGAGGAGGGAGGAGGGCGGAGGAGGAGGAGGAGGAGGAGGAGGAGGAGGAGGAGTAGGAGGCAGCAGGCTGCCGCCGTGGCCTGCGACACGCGCAGCGCAGGGCTGTCATGACAAGTGCTGCCTGGTCGGGATCTGCACGCCCCTGCGTAGAGTGGAGACGACTCCGCCTTCCTCCTCACTCGTCCTCCTCCCCTCCTCGCCACCTATGCGTAGATGCGTTGGCTCCCTCCATCATCATCATCATACTCCCTCCTCCTCCTCCTCCTCCTCCTCCTCCTCCTCCTCCTCGCACGCGGCCTCAAAGAGGACCCATACGAGGTTTTCCGAAAGGTGGCGAGATACTGGCTCCTGGATGGGCTGGTAGGGACTCGCGGGACGCAAAGAACTTGTCATGGCAATTGCCGCTGCTCTCTTACCGTTCATTTCCCTTGCCTTCTTACCCTTGCCATTTTGACGTTCGTACACTGATGAGAATGCAAGTTGTACTTGCGCATTGTAAGCGTTACGAGTTTAGACGCAAGCTTGTGCCAGATAGGCTAAGTTTGCGTTTGGCTCTCGCGACTCCTATCCATCTGGGATGATCAACAAGAACTGTTCTGAGAAACACCGGACCTCGGTTTCGGAATCGGAAATGCAGTGGAAATAACAACCGTGCAAAGACCGCCTGGCCCACATGTACAACTGCACGCTCCCTCCTAAGACCGCATAAGTGCATGTGTGCAGGGCGGCATGTGCAACGATGGTCTAGCGATAGCAGCGAAGTTCAATCTGTGCAGCCTCCAACGCGCACGCATCTGATTTTGCACGCATCTACTCTGGCAAGAATTCGCCACGGCCAGTGCAGCCTCAATCGACAGTGGAGCCCCCACGGGACTTCGCAGTATAGTCGTCCAAGTCGCAACTCCTCACAGCATAGCTGGCAGCATCGGCAACATTGTGAGACATCCGCGGCCGAACTCCTGGAGCGATGAAGCGTGTTAGGAAAGGCACTGAGCTGACTGGTACGTAGTTGTTTGAAGCTTGCAAAGGGGCAATCCTCCCCATTGCGTTGTCGGGCGAGGACGGTGGCGGAAACCGCCGCAGGCAGCTGGATAATTGTTATCCACCCAGCTGGTCGGGTCAACCGACCCCGCACTCGCTGGTCGGTAGCAGAATACACCACCTCTCCGACCCTCACCGTCTCGCCCACAGAGAGCAGCCTGACGTGCTGTGACCTCACATCGGGGGCGACCGTCACCCCCACCTTGCGGATGACGACATAGTCATCCCCACGAGCATCTGGACTGGATCTCTTGGCTTCTTCGAACACGTCCTTGAACTTGGCGGCCTGCTCTACGGTTTTGAAGCGCAAAGCGAACATGCGCTCGATGACACGCTCCTGCGCGGTCCACACCCAGGCCTTGTCATTTCCAGCGTGCCTCTGCAGCTCGCAGAAGCCGTCCTTGTTGACAAGGAAATGGTTCGCTATTATTCGCTTGGTGGCCTCCTGCTGGAACAGCAGACGCACCCGGCCCTCCGCCCGCCTCAGCAGGTGCACCTCACCCGCGCCAGCATCCTGCCACTCGCCGGCATTGAAGCAGAACAGCTTGGTGCGCTCCACGAAGATCTCGCCCTCCTCCTTCTTGTACACCGCAAGCGGGTCGGAGCCAGCCTCCAGCGTGGCCATCTCGGCCACCTCCTCCACCGCCGGCTCGTCCCCCGGCGCGCCCGGCTCGGCCTCGCTGCCGGCGGGCCCGGCAGCAGGCGTGCTTCTGCTGGCCAGGGCGGGGGCCACGGCCGGGTGCTCCTGGAAGTAGCCGTCAAAAAGCAAGAACTTGGTGGAAGATAGTCCCCGCCTGGGGAGTCGTCCGTATCCACCGATTCGGAGGCGCGACCCCGAAGGATTTCGCGGAGCGTTGGACATGGATGCATTTCGGCCCACCACGTCGTCTGGTCGTCCTCTGAGTTCGATGTACAGACGCCCCAGCTTCCAGAGACGCGGGGCCAGAGATTCTATCCACCGATTTTCCTAGACAGCCAAACAACGACGTGGCGTATACATCCAGCCCCTCCCAACATATCGTCGACCCGTGTCCAGCTGTTCCCAAGATGCCTTGGGAACAAACCCCAAGTGCCCTCGTGGCGCTGTTGCAGTCATGCGATCACGTCCCAAAGAACCCGAGAAAAAAAAAGATCGTGTCGTCGTCGATGCAGATGAGCAAAACGTCTCGGAGCAGGGCGAGTTGAGACAACGGCAGCTCAAAATCTCGGTCCCCAGACCCCTCCCGGAGCCCATCTGCAACAGTCGTCCGAATCGGCGAGCGTGGACGAGCCCCTGGCGAGGAAGCCAGCCTGCCCCCCGAGAGCCCGAAGCGGCCCTCCAGCATGCCCTGCAGGGCGGCCGACGGGTCGTAGTAGGCGACGGCCACGGCGGCGAGGCTGGCCTGCGGGGCGCCGGCGAAGAGAGGTTCTGGCCAACAGTTGGTCGATCCGAACGCGAGCGAGCACGTCCTCCTCCTCCTCCTCCTCCGCCTCCTCCTCCTCCTCCTCCTCCTCCTCCTCCTCCTCCTCCTCCTCCTCCTCCTCCTCCTCCTCCTCCCCCTTCCAAGCCTGGGGCACGGCTGTCGTCGAGCTCTGAGCTTCCCGGGGCGCCCCAAGGCTTCTGAGGGTCCGGTCCCCTGGGGCCCTCGGGGGACAAGAAGCTTCCGCAGGGCCCCAGCCGGCTGGCCGAGTTCTTATCTGACGTCCCTGCCGTAGGGCGGGTCGAGACTGAATCGGATCAAGGGCGAGTCGAAGGCGAGTCGAAGGCGAGGTCTACAGTCAAACATATGAGTGAGAAAGTGCTCTATCAAGAAAGCTGGGGCAGCTTTTCAGAAGTTTCTTAAGGAAGCGCTGGGCCAGCTCTTGGAGCCAGGAACGTACTTTGCTCATGTCTAGGATCCAAGGCTATCAGCCCCCTTAAGAAACTGAGCCAGGTTTCCGGCAAGTTGGTTAAGAAACGCTGGGCCAGCTTTTCGGGGGGGGTCTTCATCACGAGCGGGACCGTAATCGAGTCGAGCCTATACGTCCAAACGCTTTTTTCCAGGCGGACACGCAAGGGACAACGATCCGCCGCCCTTCTCTCTGTGCACGTCGGGGGCGCCCACTCAGGGGGACAGCCTGCGATGCGCAGCAGCAAATCAGCGAGGCTGGGCTGCATAATCCCGCGCCCATCCCGTCGACACATAAAGGCGGCCACGGCTACATAGAGCCAGTGAGGATCCTGTGGGACACTTATGATGAAAATATCTACTAATTACGCAACAGCGAAGGCCATTTCTTGAACTGTCCACCAGCAAGTGATAAGTACGTCTACTACACTCGAGAGCTGACATGTCACAAGTGCCTCCATGTCACGCCGCCGAGCGTGATCCCACAATGGGTAGTCCGCAATCCCCCCGATGAGAACTGCGAACGGGACTCCGAAACTCGAAAGCAAGTCGTCCCTTCGTCTTGGCGACTCCTGCCCAGGCGCAAGTCAAGAACATCAGCATATGATTACAACGTGGAAAACAGCGGGAGGATTTGGATAGACTCCCATTAGCCCCTCGGCGAATTGTTGGTTGAACAGTGGAATCATGTACATGCTCGGGGAAACCAAAAGGTACCGATACCGCTACTCCCCGGACCTCACCCAGATTTCGAAGTGTATCCAGCGGTGGCGACGAGGGCCTTCCTGGAGGCCCAAACAGCGGAATACGAGGCAAGTGTAGCGGTGCGGGCACCTTTTCCTACTCCGAATGCCAAGCCGCTCCCCACTCTCGCTGTGACCTTCGCCTCGCGGGCGCAGAACAGGGGGGCACATCCATCGTCGGCCCTGGGCTTCGCACGCCGCCCCGAGAGGCCCTGCGGGGCCCACTCCGGAGGTCAGGGCTGCTTCTTCTTTAGCGCGCCTGTTGTCTGAGGCAGGGGCGAGAGGGAGAAATTGCTTTTTTTGGCAGGGGTGGTGTCCCAGCTCTTACCGGATGGTGCTCACATGCAGGAGCGGAGTGCGGGATAGCGTGGGCCACCAGATCCCGCTGCCCCATGGAGGAGAGGGAGGAGGAGGAGGAGGAGGAGGAGGAGGAGGAGGAGGAGGAGCCCCACCCTGCTGTGTCCAGCTTGTCCTTGGCCTAGCGGAGCAGGCCCTGCAGCTTAGGCGAACGCCTGATAGAAACACGGAGCCTACCCTGTATTACCTGTTGGGCGACTTGCTGAGAAACGGGAGGAGAGGCACGCAAGGCTTGAAAGGACGAATGGATGGCATCTAACGCAACAGTATAACTAGGCAGAGCATCGGGGCCCGAGAGGTGGAAAAGGTGAGGGAGGAAGGAACTCAGGGGATCTTCACCGTAGCCTTCAGGAAGAGCAGGAAGGAGGCGTTGAAGGACGGGGCGACATACGCCACTATTCAAGTAATGGAGGACATCATCGCCTCCAACACACGAGCATCCAAATACACATCTACCTGGCCCTTGTCTGTACCGTCTTGTTGTGTTCCAGCTGCTGAATATGGTTTGTCGCAACCCAACGAAGATACACCCAGGAACAACTTGAGCAGCCCGAAGAACACGAATAAAACAAAGGTCAAATTCGTGAACCGAAATGCAGGGAACCCACTGTTTGATCCTCGGGTACAGGAGGGAGGACAGCGGCCTCGGATAGGCGTCGGCTGAAATCATTATGGCCAATCGTTTCTGCACCTTCTTGGGTACGCAAGGGTCGGGAAGCCTGGAGATATAGATGGACGCCTCGTAGTCCTCCATCAACTGCACGAAGAGGGAGCGCCGATACTGCATAGCATACCTATAAGTGAGGAGGAACTCATCCGACTCTAGAACCTCGCAGAGCTTATCCCGAAGGCTGAGGAATAGGGAAAAGTTGTGGGCAACCCTGAGTCTGGCAGCACGGCTCTGCCCCTCGTGGGAATGCGCTTGCACACCTAGGCCGAGTTCCTGAAAGCGATGAAAGAGGCCAGGAGGGAAAGAGTGGCGAGGGCTGCACGTATACAATTGGTGAGCTTCCCTCTCCATACGGAGCACGAACTTGTTGGGCCGAAAGCCCTGTCCAATATATGAGGCCACTGGGAGGGCATGCCTGTTGTGGGCAACGAGACTGGTAATGAAGCCTTCCCCAAGACTTTTGACCAAGTGGGCCCGAGCCAGGAATTCCGCACCCACCGATTTCCCGGAACGATCCAGACCATCGGCTCCGAGAATGAATCCAACGTGCTTCCCAAAAAGCTGGATCCGAAACTTGTGCGCCTTAATCCCTGCCTCCTTGAACTTGGCAATGGCTTTCCCCAGCTTGCCAGGGCCAGCGAGGATTATCACACACTTGGCGGTGTTCAATATCAAGCCCGAGGAGAAGCCAAACTGTACGATGGCACGGGTGACAGGACCAAGCACGTGAAACATATCTGCGTCCACCAAGCCGAGGTCGTCAGCGAACGCGGAGACTTGTTTCGGCAAGTCCGCGGGGACCAGGCCGATATAGCGCAGCAGTGGATCTAGACACAGAGCAAAAAGTACACCAGATAATGGGCATCCTTGTTTTACTCCTCTCAAGGCCTTGAATGAGAACTTGGGGGAGCCTCTGAAGTGAACCCAGCAAATCATATTCTGGTAGAGGGTCATAATCGCTATGATGATAAACTCAGGGAACCGATAAGAACGCATAACTTGTCAGATCCACTCGTGCAACACGGACGGGAAGGCAGCACGAACATCATAGAGACACGACCCGCAGTCTCTATGGCCGAGAACGGTCTTCCATAACATCATGTTAAAGTCTACCTCTAGCACGTTGTCCATGATGTTTCTCCCCTGGGTAAATCCTCTCTGTGACGAATGCCCACGATCGGCATATGCTTGTGCTATTGGCGAAGCGATCAGCGACGATGCGAGCTTGTTATCGGTGTTCGGTAATGCTATTGGACGTGTTTCGTCGGCCCCCTTTCAGAACATTCTCAGGATCATCAACTTCACCTTTGGCAAGGAAAACGAGCTGAGCAGCATTGAACTCGCTGCTCACACGGCCGCCGTCTAAGACGTGCTCGTAAAGCTCGAGCAATGCTTCCTGGACAACTGGCCCATCAGCTATCCAAGCGCTGTAGCACAAGCCGTCGGGTCCCGGGGCAGAATCCTTTCTCCTGCGCAGGAGGTCCAGGAACTGATCGAAAGTTTTTTCCCAAGGAAACCTCTGGTGCGTCGAATTCGCGCATTGGTACTCGTCGGGGTCCATGGGAGGAACGAGCTCCAGAAATTGGCCTCCAGGATCCGCGGCACCCTTCCAGGCGCCAAAGACAGTGCCCCAATGGGAACAAAGCAGCTGCGCACACACCGAGGCCTCGGCATGGGCGAACCCGTTATGGTCCACGATCCCACGGCGACAGATGGCCCTCTGTTTCGATTTCCAAGCTTTTGCCGGCCGCCTTATCCTCATCAGGTGAAAGTCTGCACTGTGCTGGGGGATGCCCTCAGGGTCCCTGAGGTTCTCCTCTTGCTTCGCAGGCTCCTGATTCATGAGGGAGGAGAGGTGGGTATGGAAGCTAGACCATGCATTCCAAATCATATTCTCGTGATCGTAGGAGGTGAGGAGGATGGGGCAAGCCTGAACTGCTTCAGCTGCTGCTTTGCAAAGCCCAGACCTGTAAGCGCGGACCAGTCTGAGACAGCACGCCAACTTCTCCGCCAATGAGGAGGCCGAGGTCTGAAACATGTCGGCCTTGGCGCGATTGCCAGCAGCTGTGATCAGCAACTTGATTTCCTCCAGCTTCTCGGCTGGATCGGAACTGAACTCTTGACCTTCTGCAGGGTCTTCAAAGTACTTCGCAAAAGAGTGACGCATGAACACCCAGGGCGGAAGGTACGTCTCGCGGCGCGGCTTCCACGGCTGCAGCGAGAGGCAAACAGGGACGTGATCGGAGGGGCAGGTGAGATCGGTGATGTGCCATGTCGTGTTACATGTAGGGCTAATGTCTAGAAGCTCAGGAGTAGGGATGCTGCAATAGATCCTGTCCAATCTACCATACAGTAGGATATTGACTCCGTAGGCTGGGTGATAACACGACGACGTGTGTATTGTGGCTGTTCAAGCTCAGCGTGGTGAGGAACGAGAGTGCGAAATAGAGCGGCACGCCTGGCGGACACGAAGCGCTCGGTCCCGTGAGTGGCATTGAACCTACCTTCCCCAGACTCATGGCAGTTGAAATCCCCAAGGATGAAGGACGTGGAATTCCGTAGCCATGTTGGCTCAAGCTCGAAACGTTCCCCTGGCGCTTCGAACTTGGTCGCGGCCGAGGGGGCGGCTCAGAGCGCCCTTCTTGCGAGGACAGTCCTCGCGGCACTTGAGCTTCAGTGCTGGTGCCTTGTGGCCCCGATCTCAGATGTTCGTAAATTGTCGCGTGCACCTCAGCAGCCATGGCCATCCCGCCTGAGCTGCAGGCCTCGCCCGAGGCAGTGTTCGAGAAGCAGAAGGCCTGCATCCGAGAGGTTGTGCAGCAGGAGATTCAGACGGCGGTGTCAGGTCTGCAGGGGCAGATCTCCACGCAGGGGGCCGAGCTGAACGCACTCCGAGCTGACCTCCAGAAGCAAGGTGAACGTCTGACGGCGCTCGAGAACAACGGCAGTACGACAAGGAGTTCAAGGACTGCACCCAGCTATCAATCTTCCTTGAGCAGTGGTCCCTCAGTTCGACAGCTGCATGGGGACAAAGCGAGGAAAGTGACACCTGTAATCGACCTCGAGAGCGACCCGTGCATCCGCTTCGTGGGCACTTTCCCGAGGCCGCTGCTGATGAAGACGCGGCTGGCCCACTGGCGCCAGATGCTGGAACACTTCCCCGAGCTCAAGGACGACCAGCGGGCAACTGCCATCTTCCACGGAGCGAGCCAGGTCTACAAGCTGAGGTTTGCCAACGAAGACGACGCGAAGAGCTTCCAGACCAAGATGAACGACGTAAACATGGAGCGGGTAGACTTCCGCCACGGCAAGAAGTTGACTACCTACCGGACCACCCCAACCCAACCCGAAGACCCGAATTTCGGGTTGGGGGGGTAAGGGTTCCACGCGTATTTGTTCGATGTTTCCCGACCCCCCCCACTAGAAATCGAGGGTAAATCTGAGCCTTCGGGTTGGGTTGGGGTGGTTTGGTGGGTGGTGAGAAGTACCCCCTTCAGGGTCAGGGGCGACGTGCCGCTCCACGTTCGCCAGAAGAGGGCCTTCTCGGGGCTCTGCTACGATGTACACCCTGCGAAATGCTTCAGAAGTCATGGGTTAAGAAATTCACAGTCTCAGAACTTGAATAAAGACCCAACATTTCTAATAACATCTTAGGACTTACACTGAAACGTTAAGAATAATTTCAGTTTTACATCTTAGGATTTTCATCTTAGGATTTACATCTTAGGATTTACATCTTAGGATTTACATATTGAAACATTTCTAATAATATCTTAGGATTTACATCTTAGGATTTACATTGAGACTCTGCCCGAAACCTTAAGTTTTCTTAAGCATCGCCTAAAGTGTACGCACGGAGCTGCAGGCCGGTCGCTCGTGGACGGGCGGTTATTGCAAGCTCGGAGCCAACGCGGGCACAAAGGGAGTGCTGCAGGTGACATAACGGATGACGACGTCTACGAGTTGGTGCAGGCAGTACAGCCTGGTGATACGACGTCTACGAATACGACGTCTACGAATTGGTGATAACGGATGACGACGTCTACGAATTGGGGGAGGACACCTTTAAGCTAGAGCCTATCTGCCCGAGCTCGCTGCACTTCGGCACCACGGAGGACGCGATCGACGGGCTCATATCGCCGCTCTTGGAACGGCGAGTGCAGGGCACCCCGGTCCTGAATTGGAGAGCACGGGCTCGGCGAAACGCGGGGGTTGCTGCGCCCTGCCTGGTGTTTTTGTGCCACATTGTGCGTTTTCTTCTCCTCCCTCGCCTCCAGCCAGTAATAGAGCAGATGCATCGGATTTTCCGCCCCCCCCTTCCCAATGTTCTTACTACATACCTGACGCAACGTTTCGGATATCGACATGGAACTCTCAGGCCCTCATTGGGTCGATGCATGCCGATCAAAATCGTGTTCAACATAAGTACTACATGCCGTCCTCCAGCGAAATCAGATCGTGTGTCTTCAAGAAACTCATGGTGCTCCAGGGGACCTGCCGCATCTCGAGCGTGAGTTCAGGTATCACTCTGTCTTTGGCTCCTTCTGCTCACGTGCCTCTGCTGGTGGCCTCCTCATTTTTGTCGCCAGCGAATTGCTGAGAGACTTCCCCTACTCCGACTTCCAGGAGCCTGTGCCAGGCCGGGTAGCAGTTTTGAATCTCAGCGGTCCCAAGGGAGGGTTACAAATCGTCAGTGTCCACATGGACCCCGAACTTCCTGACCCCGCGGTCCGAAGGCAATTTCTGGCTATTAAATCCTTGAGGAGGAGGAGGAGGAGGAGGAGGAGGAGGTGGAGGAGGAGGAGGCGGAGCGTACATGGATTTTTTTTGTTGGATCATCCGTTAAAATTGGAACGATACAGAGAAGATTAGCATGGCCCCTGCGCAAGGATGACGCGCACAAATCGAGAAGGAGGAGGAGGAGGAGGAGGAGGAGGAGGAAGAGGAGGGCACCACACCAAACCGTGCGTGCGGGCGGAGCCCCGGAGAAAAAATAGATCGCACGGCTCTGGCCTGACACTGCCCGCGCGGGCGCGGCCGCGACATCCACCGAGAAGGACAGGCGCAGGGACAAGTTTTTCCTTGGGCGAGCAACGACATATGTACATGTACGCCCTCCACGGCCTTGCCTGCACGAACGTCCGCGTTGACACGCACTCCAGGGGAAACTAACCGCGTACGTGTACATATGTTGCTGGCCTCTGATTCCTGTCTGGAGGGAGGAGAGCGAACGCAGGGAAAAGCATGATACAGAAGGGCCCGAACTCGTGTCACACGACAGGCGCGGCCACAGGGAGGGGGAGCAGAACGGAGCGGGAGCAGGGCGAGGTCCATACGACCGAATCGAGAATCAGGGTCGGTCTATATATGAATTGCATCGGTATGTTGGAATCCCTGCCTTTTCGACGAAATGGAATCAGTCAACGGTCGATCAGGTCGAGCATAATGGAGAGAGATAGAGAGAGAGAGATATATAAAGAGAGAAGAGAAAAAGAGAGAGAGAGAGAGAGAAAGCGGAGGCTGGAGCAGTTGACCGCGTCGGAATGGTCATGCGCGCTGGCCATGGACAAGCAGGGCCCCAGCCTGGTAGATGCGCCCTCCGTGCAGAAGCCTGAATGGTCTACACACCATCCTGGGGTTAGGTCGGGGATGTCTTCCTACAGGCGGATTTTGGCAGAAAGTAGCCGGAAAAGATTCCAAAGTAGCAGGAGAAAAAAATCGTCCCCAGACTATGTTTTGACAATTCTTGAATATTCCTCCCAGAAGGGGACATGCCCGACTTAATCCTAGGGCCCATGATGGCCCTGGCCAAGCAAAATGGTGGCGTGCAGGTTCCTCCTGGGGAAGGCAGTTGATCATGCCTCCAGATGCACTGGCCAGACAGTGCTGTTGTATGTAGGGGGCTTCTGCGGAAGACACTTGGTCGGGCCGAAATGATTCAGATGCCCTGGCCGGGCAGAGTGGTGGTGTGTAGGGGACTGTTGCGGAAAGCAGCTGGCGGAACCGAAATCCTCAAAAGGCCCTGGCCACGCAGAGCGATGGTACGCAGGCGCATCATGCGGAAGACACTTGACCGGGCCGGGACGATCCAGATGCCCTGGCAAGCCAGAGTGGTTGTGTGTATGTGCCTTCCGCGAAAAGCAACGAATCGGGCCGAACTGATCCAGACTCCCTGGCCACACAGAGCGGTGGTGTGTAGATGCCCTGAGCGGGCCACAATTGATCGGGCGAAGTGGCCCATGGGCGGGCCCGGCCAGTCAGCGAGGTGGTGTGCAGTGCTATCCGCGGAAGCAGCGGCACCCGGAGGCGGCCCTGGCCAGGCAGAGCGGTGGTGTGCAGATGCCATCCGCGAAGCACAACTGGTGCGAGGGTGCCCAGCTTCGCGCTTCGCGCTGCGCAAAGCGCGAAGCGCGAATCAGTTCGCGCTCTCGGGCCGCCCCCCAGGGCAGAAGAAGAGGACGAGGAGGACTCGGAGCCGAAGCGCGAAGCGCGAGGCGCGAAGAACTGCGCGCCCTCGAGGGCGCCCTTGACTGATGGGGGCCGACACTATCCAGAGAGCCAGCGTCCAAAGACCATGAGCCGAGCCGACCCTTTCTCGTCGGCGGCGAACCAGAAGAACTGCACCAGCAGAGAGCGCTCGGGGCGACCGAAACGCGAATTGGCCAGCGTGCAGGAGGGGAGCCGAGCCGAACACGTGGACGGCCCCATGGCCTGCTCCAGGGCGGCGCGCAGCACCCGCTCCCCAAGGCCCCTGCCGCGCAAGCCCTCGGACACGTAGAGGTCCAGCAGGCATGTCGGCGAGATCTTCTGTAGCCTGCTGTTCCACGCGGCATACCTGCGGCGGCCAGGAGATGCAGGACTCCTCCTCCCCCTGCCCCCTCATGACTTCCTCCAGCTCTGCGTGCTGCTCCTCTTCCTCACCTGCCTCCTGCTCCTCCTCCAGCTCCTCCTCCTCCAGCCCCTCCTCCTCCTCCTCCTCCTCCTCCTCCTCTCGTCTGCTTACTCTTCTTAGTGCTAGTAAGTTGATAATTTGCTCATTATTAGTCGTCGTCTTCCTTATCGGCTGTATCAGTATTCGACACGAATGTAACACGTACAACTAGCATTGCCATTCATAATGGTCATCGCTCGATTACCCGTATAATGCCTGCGAGTTGAACTATGAGTACGTTTACTACTGCTTCTCATGCTGTGAATATTATTAGTAGTAGCATTGCGGTTAGTAGGATTCGCCCTCGTAGTAGTAGCATTAGTAGCATTAGTAGTAGTAGTAGTAGTAGTAGTAGTAGTAGTAGTAGTAGTCGTAGTAGTCGTAGTCGTAGTCGTAGTCGTAGTCGTAGTAGTAGTAGTAGTAGTAGTACTAGTAGTAGTAGTAGTAGTAGTAGTAGTTGTTGTAGTAGTAGTAGTAGTAGACGTAGTAAACGTAGAAATAGTAGTAGTAGTAGTAGTAGTAGTAGCAGTAGTAGTAGTAGGAGTTGTTGTAGTAGTAGTAGTAGAAGAAGAAGAAGCAACATAAAATAGCCGAAGCAGTAGTAGCATAATGAACAAACAATAGTAGTAGCCGTAGTAGCAACAGTCGTAGTAATAGTAGTTGTCGTAGTCGTAGTCGTAATCGGAGTCGTAGTCGTAGTCGTAGCCGTTGCCGCTGTAGTAGTAGCAGTAGTAGTAGTAGTAGTAGTAGTAGTAGTAGTAGTAGTGGTAGTGGTAGTAGTAGTAGTAGTAGTGGTAGTAGTAGTAGTAGAAGTAGTAGTAGTAGCAGCAGTAGTAGTAAGAGTAGTAAAAATCGTAATCGTCGTATTAGTGGTAGTAGTAGTAGTAGTAGTAGTAGTAGTAGTAGTAGTAGTAGTAGTAGTAGTAGTAGTAGTAGTAGTAGTAGTAATAGTAGTAGAAGTAGTTATAGTAGTCGTAGTAGTAGCAGTAGCAGCAGTAGTAGTAGTAGTAGTAGTAGTAGTAGTAGTAGTAGTAGGAGTAGTAGTAGTAATAGTAGTAGTAGTAGTTGTAGTAGTGGTAGTTGTCAGAGGAGGCGGAGGGTGCGGAGTAGGAGTCGGAGCAGGAGCAGGAATAGGAGTTGAAACGGGAATAGGAGTAGGACTAGGAGTAGGAGTAGAAAAAGTATACATAGTAGTAGGAGTAGTGGTAGTAGTACTTGTTGTAGTACGAATCGTAGTAGTAGTAGTAGTAGAAGTAGCACTTATAGTTGCATTAGCAGTAACAGCAATACTAGTAGTAATAGAAGTAGTAGAAGTAATAATAATAGCAGAAGTAGTGGTAGTAGCAGTCGTCGTCGCAGCAACAGTCGTAATAGTAGTAGTAGTAGTAGTATTAGTAGTAGTAGTAGTAGTAGCAGTAGTACTAGTAGTAGTAGTAGTAGCAGAAGTAGTAGTAGTAGAAGAAGTAGTAGTAGTAGTAGTAGTAGTAGTAGTAGTAGTAGTAGTAGTAGTAGTAGACGTAGTAGTGGAAGTAGAAGAAGTAGTAGTAGGAGTAGTAGGAGTAGAAGTAAGTAATCGTAGTAGCAGTAGTAGTAGTAATCACAGTAGTAGTAGTGGTAGTAGTAGTAGTAGTAGTAGTAGTAGTAGTAGAGAAAGTAGTAGCAGTCGCAGTACTAGTAGTAGTCGTAGTCGTAGTAGTAGTAGTAGTAGTAGGAGTAGGAGTAGTAGTAGTAGTCGTAGTAGTAGTAGTAGTAGTAGCAATAGTAATAAGATTATTAGTAGTAGTAGTAATGATAATAATAACACTAGCAGTAGTAGTAGTAGTAGTAGCAGTAGTAGTAGTAGTAGTAGTAGTAGTAGTAGTAGTAGTAGTAGTAGTAGTAGTAGTAGTGGTAGTAGTAGTAGTAGTCGTAGTCGTAGTAGTCGTAGTAGTCGTAGTAGTCGTAGTAGTAGTAGTAGTAGTAGTAGTAGTAGTAGTAGTAGTAGTAATATAATATTTTTGCACACAAGCACCCACTAACAGCATCCCCCGCTCCGATGATTATCGAATGCGCTTCCCCTGACGGGGGCTATCAACGCTCCCATTGATGTGCCGCTGCCGCCTCCTGGTAACGAGCGCGGACATGAGCTCGACTCGCCCTGAAACTCTATAGCGGCAGAGGCCGCGAGTGGCCGCCCAGGTACATGAGCTCGACTCGCCCTCAAATTCCATAGCGGCAGAGGCCGCAAGTGACCAGCCAAGCAAACGTCACAAGGAGGAGGGGGAGGAAGGAAGGAATGAAGGGCAGCGAGGAGGCCAAAATCGGCTGTCTCGCGCACCACCAGTTGGACAGACACCAGCGCAGAAGTGAAACAGCACAGGAGGAGGGAGGCGAAGGAAGAGGAGGGGGAGACAGGTCCAAATCAGAGAGCACGCTCCAGCCAACCTGCAAAAGGTGAGCCTTCACATGCAATGTCAGCCTGGGGAAACATAGGATCAGAGCAATGCAAATCTGTGTGCCCTTTGCAGCTTGTAGAGTGCCACGTCGATAAGTCCACATCGGAGAAGAAGAGGAGACCGGAGGGGGGGGCAGAGGAGGAGAGAGAGAGAGAGGGGAACCTGCACGCGTGGTCGAAGACAGGCACTCCGCCCTGGCACCCGCACTAACGATACGCGGCGGTCGACTGGGCAATAACGGCACACCAGTGGCTACATCTGTTATCGCCGGGCGGGCGCCACGGGCAGACATGGGAGCGCGGGCCAGGAGCGGCTCCCGAGAGGGAAGCGGCCCCATGTCCCGGGCGACCGAACATCTGCCAGCACGCTCTGGCCGTGCAGGCGGCACCAAAGTGCCAATTGAATGCCAGGGCAACCACGCACCCTGGACCTCCCAGAGGAGACGAAACGGAGGGGGGAGTAGACAGCAGGCGGAAGACGGAGGAAGGGAGGGGAGGAGGGCGACTGCACGCTCATGTCGAGCGTTCGTGGCCTCCACGGCCACGGAAAGGACCTGCTGGCCAGGACCAAAAGAACGGCACCACGAGCCGGGGGAACGGGGACGAGGCACAGGGATGCGAAGGAGGACCTGTCGGCGAGGATCGACCGACCGGCACCACGGCCAGGGAGCGAAAAGCAAAGCGCGCAAAACACTAATGTACTTCAAGCCACCATTTCGCCCCCAAAAGATAGCTTGAAAGACCAACCGTGTTTGGCCGATGCGCTGGCGAGGAATCAATGGACGCAGGGGGAGAAGAGAAGGACGGAGGAAGAGAGGGGAAGAGGGCGAGTGCACGCTTATGCCGAGCGCTCGGGGCTTCCACGTCCGCGGAAAAGACCTGCCGGCTAGGGTCGACCGATCGGCGCCACGAGCCGGGGGGAAGGGGACGAGGCAGAGGAGAGGAAGGGAGAGGGAGAGGAGCCTGTCTGGCAAAAGCAGCGCGCCCACGGCCTACAAACTCATCGCCAGCGCGAATCCAGCACGGCCGCAGCGCGGCGATCTCCTTGAACTGCTTCCCGAGCGGCTTGCTCCAGAGCGCGGCACACAACGTGCTCGCCGCTCAAATAGGGGACAAACAAACCTACCTCGCTTTTGACCACCCTCGCTTCCAAGAGATACCAAGCGATGCCAAACTACGGCCTGTACTGGTCAGGCCGCTTAACGAGGAGGCGCGTGGTATGACTTGGTTTTGCCTGGAAGCGAAAGCGGGGTAGGTAATTTACGCTCTGACCAAAGCCGCCCTCTAGCGACGGAATCTGCAGCGCAGCCGGGAAGCCGCAGCGACCCGCAAGGCCCCAAGCGTCAGGCGAGCATCTGTGAGCTCGGACTGCGGCCCCAACAACAGTGAAGGGGCCCAAGGCCACACAAATAAATACACACAAATAAAATAATCCCCCATATTTTCGCATATTTACTGGGTTTCTGTCTTCCCGCCCACTTCCCATATTTTCCCATATTTTCTGGGAAATCGAGGATTAATTGTGTCTGTGTGTGTCTTTTCCTCCTGAAACAGAAAATCCAGGCGCCGCGTCTCGCGGTTCCGCCGGTATGGGAGCCGCAGGTGGCCCGCTCCAAAATCTCTGCGAGAGCGCGGCACACTGTGGCGTGCTCCACTAAGCCCCCGTCCTTGAGGCTGCAGAAGAGGCATGGCCCGCGCCCGCCGAAGCGCCCTGCCGTGCACCGCCGGGACCAGAGCGTGCGCCAGACTGCCGCCGCCACGCGGGAAGGGACCAGGACGGCAAGCCGGCGGAGGACGGTCACCGCCCGCTGCGCGCGCAGCCGCTGGAAGAGCGGCACCTCCCAGTGCTCCAGCTTCTCGCGCATGTGTACCTCCGGCACCCTCCGCTGCTGTGCGAGGAACAGCTTCCCGACCGCGCGCTACAGCCCTGTGCTTCCAGAAGAGTGATGCCTTGCCGCGTGAGCGCGCCGCCGTTGCCCCGCAGCCTCTGGCGATACGACGTCGGCCACCATCCGGACCACCGCGCTACGCGTTGGACGCGTCCGAAATCACGGAGCAACGCCTCCAAACGGCGGAGTCGAGACATACCTTGCAGCCCGCCCTGCGCCAGGGCCTCGCGGTGCCAAACGCGGAACTTCGCCGCGGAGCTGACGACCCGTACATACTGGAAAACCGAAGGGAAACCGAAATACCGCTGCACGCCGCGCAGGTCGTCGGGGACGCACCACCGAGATGGGCTGCGCACCAATAGCCGTAGGACGTGGGCCTCAGTGATCGGCCATTCTCTAGGAAGCGGCTCCAGCTGCAGCAGGAAGCCCAACAGGCAGACAACGTACACCGTGTGCACGACTGCTGCGAAATGCAGCCCGAGCTCGGTTGAAGACCACAGACGGGCCCGCCCGATGGCCTTCTCTCGCGCTGCCTGCCACGACCGCTCCCCGCTCCCTGGCCCCAGTACGAAACCGAGGTA